TTGTGACTTCCTGGCTAGACTGTGCTGGGCTACACACCAGGATCCTGTGTCAAAATATCATACACACACACACACACACACACACACACACACACACACACACGTAAAACAACAGCTGAGCCTGTAAGATGTGGTAGATGAGGACACTCTATTGTTTTAATGCATGATGAATAAGACCCTTAAGTGGAATGAAATTATAACTTTTCAAATTCTGTTATTTATTTTATGCATAGATCAGACATTTAAGTAAGATTTTCTTCTCATTTAATTTTCTCACAACTTGGTGGAGGAAACTGAGTCAGAGAGGTTTGTCTCATGTCTAAAGTTACCTAGTAGTGGATCCCATGGAGGGTTAGAGCTCTAACCCCAACCTGCTCACTTACTGTTATACAACACTTCCTGAAACTCAACAGAAATAGCCAAGAGTTGTGTCCATTAGGAATGCCACAAAAGTCTCTGCATTGTCTACTATGTCCCAGCTGTAGGGATGTCTTACCCAATAGTGAACAAATTTTAATTGCCTTTAACAGCATATTAGGAAATTGCAACACAGTCCCAAGTGGGGCATGGGGTGGTGTCACTGGCCTTTTTCCAATTCTCTGCTCTGAACTCCTAGAAGCTTCTTCTTAGTGATCTCTCTGACCCCTACCTAACTCTCAATGTATGATTAAGGATTCAAAGCTATTATGAGATTCCTTGCATTCATCTATTACTATCCCTACTGCATTGTTTATAATATAATCTACTCATGGTTTTGTTTTCCTTACTAGAGTGTAAATTCTTCAAAGGCTGAGTCATTTTTATCTGCTATGGTGTGAAACGTATCTGCTTTGTAGTAGACACTGAAAAAAGGAATGAGTGAGGAAGGAAAAGGTCTAGGACCACTTTACCCCCATACCTGACATCTTAGCCTGAGCTGCAGCCTCTATCTTGAGCACCCCCACTTTTCTTAACTCTTCTAATTCCTACTTCTAGAGCTCTGACCCAGGCAGGACATCCATCCTCAGCACTGCAGGAGGCTCTGCCTGAAGGCAAATATCTACAGATAAAGCTACCAGTTTGACTAGGAGTCATGTCACATTCTATTGGCTTCTGTTGTAACCCTCATCTCAAACTGCCCTTCAGGAAACAACAGGTAGGTATGTCAGTCATCACCATACATTAGGTCAGTAGACACTCCTGCCAGAGGCCACCCTAGAAACTAAATGAGTTCTCTGAGAGCTGGTTCTGCTGGTCTAAATTGCCTAAGAAAAATGGGAGCTTGAACATTCCAGATCAAGCCTTACTAGGGTTGCAATGATAGCATATCGACTCTCTATAGGACTCAAGGTCACATTAACTTCTGTCACTTGAAATAATAACCCCGTGTTTGCAGAGAAGAATGCTTTGTTTTCTGGTAGAATTACCTGAAGATCCCTCAAGGCTGTCTCATGAGTGTGGGCATCACCCTTAAGAGCTGAGTACTGGCCGAGCTTCTCTTGTTCCTGCCCCAGCCAAGTTTCAAATGCCTTCAGGTCCTTCTGATACTCTTGGTGAAGGCGAACCAGTTTTTCATATTTCGTTACCGCCTCCTGCAATTATCAGTGAAATGATTAGGAAAGGAATGCCTAAATGAGGTATCAATGTGTTACTAGAATCCGAACTTTAAAAAGTATAAATATAAAATCATTGAATTTGCCTGGCATGGTGGTGCATACCTTTAATCCCAGCATTCAGAAGCAGAGGCAGGCAGATCTCTGTGAGTTCAAGGCCAGCTGGGGCTACAGGGAGACTCTGTCTCAAAAAAACCAGATAAATAAATAAATAAATAAATAAACAAACAAACAAACAAATAGATCATGAATGATTTCCTAAAAGAACCCTTAAGGTTTATGGACAAAATATAGAAACCAATATTTCAGGATTGAGAGGGACCTTGAAGATCATTTTGTTGATTTAACTGCCTGATCTATGAGTTTTTAATGAAATGCCAGACATGCCAAAAATGATGTAACTTTCCTTTTCATAAAAATTCAGTATGGTTAATAATGAAAACTGGGGTGTTTACATTGTCTGAAATGAGAATTTGGACTCTGTGTGGATTTTCTGAGCTCCCAAAGAGTGTTTTTATTTTCCTTGAGAGGCATGTATGGAGGATGGTATGAGCTATGGTGATTATTTCCTGCTTTATAAAATGCTCATCATGGGGCTAGAGAGATGATTCAGAAGTAGAGAGAGCACTGGCTGCTCTTGCAGAGGACCCAGATTAGGTTCCCAGCACCCACATAGTGGCTAACAACTGCCTGTAACTTCAGTTCCAGGGGATTTGACATCCTCTTTTGAATTCCGAGGGTACTGCATGACACAGGCATGCTTACATACATGCAGACAATATACACATACACAGAAAAGAAAAATAATAAATAAAATTTCATGTAAGTACATGCACCCATGTTGTGCAGTGCCCATGGAGGTCAGAAGAGGCGTTGGATCCCCTGGGAGTGGAGTTATAAACAGTTGTTAGCTGCCATATGGGTGCTGGGATTTGAACCCAGGTCTTCTGCAAGAGCACCCAGTGTTCTTAACTGCTGAGCCATGTCTCCAGCCCCAATATATAAAATATTTTTTAAAACATAAAATAAAATGCTTGTCACCAGATCTAATAGGGCATTTATGAGTTTTTCATTATGAAGCTATCCAAAAATTCTGTGAAACTATTATGTTTCTGAGTTTTTGAAAATTATTTCATCATATTAACTTTCACATACGAACAACATTTGAAGTTTTTAATTTTCCTAATGATGCCTTTAAAATACTAAAGTTCATTTAGCTTCTTTTGTCCTGTCTGTTTTCACGCAGTCTCTAAACAATCCCAGCTCTGACACTCCTGCCTGGGTGAGTCCATAGGACCCTGTGTCGCCATACCTTGGCCCTCTCTTTGACAGCTTGGTATCGATCCTGCAGATCCTGCAGTTCTAACTGGGTGACGTAATGCTCTGTCATGCCCGCCCTCTTGACTTCAATGGTCTCCAGCAGGCTGCCATGACTCAACACTTCTTCATTTAGTAGCTAGAGAACATTAAAACAAAGTAAACAAGGTTCCTATGTATGAGCCTGCCAATGTTCTTGCTAAAAATAAGTGATTTCAACTGTACAGTTGACAAGTGACCTTTAGCTAGCCATCCATTTACCTGAACGATATAGACTCATGTATACATCTTAAAACACATGTTTGCATGCATGCACGTGTGTATTTCATATCTGGTCCAGGCCTCTCTTTCAGACCCGAATTCCTAGTCAACTGCTTTATATATATGCTACCCCATCAGCATTCTTCCCCAGTACCATCAAACTTTCTCCTTTGGGCCTTTGTTTTTAATAGTAAATGCTACTTCTTGCCACCCAGACCTCTGAGGTTGTCAATCCAGAGCCCTAGATGTAGTCCCTTGCTCTCTGTATAACAGGCTGCTCTTAGCTGTCACTTGGGTTTGGACAGTAGCCTTGCAGATAAGAGTCCTAATGAAAGATGTGGGTGGGCTGGGCTAGGGAGTCTCTGGAGACCTAAGCACAATGCAGGGAGGCGCCTGCCATCTTGCAGTTCCCACCCTAGCACCCTCCCTTCCCTCCCCCCCGAATTCTCTGTACTAGGACCTTACCCTCCTCAGCCTGTGAATGTGCTCGAATTCTGGCCCCAGTTCCTTCTAGACTGATTTCTCTGTGCTAAATCCTCCAGTGTGAGGTCTCTCGTTTCACATATGTCTTTCCTGTCCCTATGTCCTGACTCCAGACAATGTAAGTTAACCTATACAGTCTATGTTAACGCTGTCCCAAATTGCTGTCTTACATCATGCTGGTCTTCTTCACAGCTCTTCCAACTTAGGATTTTTATTTATTCATGTACTTATTACTGAGTGTCCATGTCCCCACCAGAATACAATCTTTGTTAGCGTATTTTATTTATTTACCTAGAGTAGAGCACAATGCCAGCATGTAGCAGGTTCTCAATAAATATTGATAAACAGATAAATAATTAATCAGGCAATTAAGTACCACAACAAACAGTAATCATAGTATTTATGAAGCAGGCTACTGTGACTATATTATTTACAAATGCAGGAGATGCAGAAGCACTGAGCAACTTGGCCGAGGTTGCATAACCCCGTTTAGTCATTCAAATAACTTTTATTCCACATTAGTTTGGCATCAGGGAGGGAATCAAATACTCAAGATATAAGGAAAATTAATCATCATTATCCCCTTAGAGAGAGGGGCGTGCAAATTGTTTCTTATATAAAGAGATATAAACAAAGGAATGGGAGTAAAAATAAAAGCTACTAGTTAAGCCTGGATTGAGCTTAGGAAGCTATCATCACAAAAGCTATATCTGACTTAATGCAGAAAAGTGAGTAGGGCTTGCCGGGTGTGGAGGCAGAGCGAAGATGCCTAGGGAAGGGAAGATTCTGCAGAGACACGCAATCTTCAAAGATCATGGTACATTCAGGAACTAGGATGAGATTTGGCAAGGTGGAGATGAATGTGAAAGTGGAGGTGATGGAGTGGAGGATGGCAGACAGGGTTATCCAAATTCTTACCGACCCCCAAGAAGTCAGAATTATACTGCAGACAGTGGAGAGCCAGCAGGGGCTTTTATTTAGGGATGTGAGACATATGAACAGAGCAGTCAGTTGATGCAGATAAGAAACAAGGGTAGAAATTAGGAATCTCATAGTCCAAGTAAAGAGGAAATGAGCAGGGACTAGTGGGGATGGGAAATGGGGATGGGAAAGGAGTCCGGAGGAAAGGACATTCTGATTTGGGATGTTCCCTGTGGGATGATTCAAATGAGTAGAAACCGAGAACTTAAGAACTTGATGGATCTCTACACAGAAGATGGTTCATCTCAAGATGTGATAGTCTAATAAGTACACTCTGGAGAGAGGTGTGGCTATAAATCAAAGGAATCTAGTGCTTCATGTTTGAATACCACTTCAATGAAGGAATCTTAAAAACTTTTACGTATTTTAAAACCTTTCCATGCGGTAATACAGTAACAGAGGGACATGTAAAATGCATAAATATAGTAAGGCAGGGCCTGGATGCAGTTCAGTATTTCAGTGTCTGTCTTGCAAGTACAAGACCTTGGGTTTATCATCCAGCACTGAAGGGGAACATGCAGGCAGGAAAGAAATTAAAGTAATAATGCAAAAGGATGAAATAAAAAGAAAGCACATTTATTTTTGATACCATGTGACAGATTTTAAACGGTCTGTATCATAAAACATGGGTCTACATGATTGCGCAAAAAAGAGAAATTTTCATTCTCTAATAAGTTACCATGAACAAAATATCCTCTAGAAAGACATTATTATACCACAGGATTCAAATAGAATTTCCATGCATGTGTCTTTAGTATATAGATGATCCCATTTTTGTCTGACCATCACGTTCTAAGGAAGTTTATGAGAATGCAAAAAGAGATCCAGGTCTAACCTTGGCTTTCCTGAGAGCAGTCACTCTCTCCTGCAGCTCCGTGTGCTGTCTCTCGGATTCGTTCAGGCTGTTTTCCATAGTGTCCATCCAACTGGAGAACTGCTGCACATCATCCTGGTAACTTGTCCACTTGGAGAGAGCTCCTTCAAGCTGACTGAAAGGGGTTTGAAAGAACAGTAACCTAATGTGAGCATCCTTATGGGTCTTAGGTCTGTCATGTTCGTTCAGTCCTCCCCAGCCAACTCAGGGTCCAGGAGCCTGAGACAAACAGCTGGCCAGGGCTTACCAAATCCAACTCCAGGTCTCTGGCAAAATTATCCCCAAGAAGTAAGGGACAGTTAAATTCAACCTCCAAAGTGGCACTGAACACAAACTCAAGAGGAAGGGACCAGGGAATACCAGGCACTCAGAGAGGCCTAAAGGTAACTCAGGGATAAATCCCCAGGTCAGGCCTTTCTTGGAGACAAACTCTGACCAGGTCTGAGCCTCCACTAAATTCCAGCAAGCTGATCAGGACATTAAGAAGAGGAAGGAAAGGAAAAAGGAAGGGCAAACTCAGGAAGAATAAGGGCAGTGACCATTTTGCATAAATTTAAGTATTAGAGAATCACAGTAGGAAAAGGGGATGATCGATCACCTGATCACCATACCATGAAGGGGTTGTTTTGTAGCAAACACTGTCAGTGTCACACATGTCCTCAGACCTCCGACTGCAGGGACTGCTCCTGGACTCACTGCTGGCTCCTGGGTCCCTGGACATTTACTAATTCTGGATGAACTAATTCTGGTTTGAGAGCATTGCAAGCAATTGAGTGTCAAGGGGTTGTCACCTCCAAGGTGCATCCCCGACTGCCCTCCTGTGTCCTGGCTGTTTCTTTACCAATGTCCCCACTCTCTGCCCTCAGGTAGGAAACTCAGACACAGGATGCCTAGAACCCAGTGTCACCAGCCAGGGAAATTTCATTTGTCCCTGTTGTGACCTGTTTGATGATGTTCCTTTCTTCCTCGTTCATTGATGTCTCCCAAGTGAATTACTTGGTTTAAATCAGAGTATCTTTATATTATGAAACACTTGTAATCCTTTGATTTTAAGCAGGAAATAATATAAAAATGTGCATTTTTAGTTATATGAAAGTATAGACACAATATTTCAGGTCAACTGAATGCAAGGTTCTACCTGCTAGATTCTTTTGTGCTCTTCTAAGGAGAGAAGGTGGCGGGGGAAGGGGGCAGTAAGAAAGCCATAGGGAAAG